AGATTGGACTATGCATGTAGTCCTGCTGCAGTCTACAAAACACGTACAACCTGTGTGAAAGCCAACTGATTCTGTGAATTCTCATTAAGGGGAACGGAGAAGAAAACATTAGCTAAGTCGATGACATCATACCATTCATCAATTCCCAATGACAGCTGCTCTGGTAATGTTCCAATATGGACACAAGCGGTTCATGTTTATTTAATATGATAGAGTTCATATTGCAGTTGGGGAGGGAGAACCTGGAATCAGATGTAATGTTATTACAGTTGAGTACACGTAACTATGACGACGAGAGTGAGCAGCTGGTGAGAGTTATTTGGAAGGTGGCGCAGTAATGGGAGGGATTTCTGGGGGTAATTCAGGAGGGACAGCAGAAATTTATCCCACAGAAGAAGAAGAAAAGCAGACGATGAGGCAACCATGGCTGATAAGGGAATTCAAAAACAGCATAAAAGCAAAAGAGAAACATTACAATTTGGTGAAGATTAGTGGGTACCCAGTGCATCGGGAAGTCTTTAAAAACCAGCAAAGGATGACTAATAAAAAAAAATCAATAAGCTGGAGAAGATAAAATATGAGACTGAGCTAGCCAGTATTACAAAAAAAAAGACTGCAAGAGATTTTTTGATATCTAAACTGTAAGACAGAGGCAAGTCTGGACATTGGCTTTGGAAAATGAAACTGGAAAAGTAGTAATGGGGAACAAGAAAATAGTTGAAGAACTGAATTTTGCATTAGTTTTCATAGTGGAAGATATGGCAGCTTACCTGAACTTCAAGAGAGCCAGGGAGAAGAGCGGAATGTACTGGGCATCACTAAGATGATGCAGGGAAATCAGAAAGGTCTGAAGGTGGATAACTCACCTGAACCAGGTGAAATACATTCTAGAGTTTTGAAGAAGGTATTTGAGGAGTCTTCCATTAATCACTGGAGTCAGGAGGGGTCCCAGAGGCCTGGGAAATGGCTCATGTTACGCCCCTGTTTACGAAGGAAGAGAGGCAGAAGGCAAGAAACTATAGGCTAGCTAGTCTGACCTCAGTCTTTGATAAGATTTCGGAGTCTATTTTGTATGGATGAGATTGTGGAATACTTGTTAGTGAATGGTATAATAGGGGTGAGTCTGCGCAGCTTCGTCAAGGGGAGATGCCTGACAAGTCTGTTAGAATTCTTTGAGGAGGTAACATGCAAGTTATTCAAAGGAAAGCCAGTGGACGTGATCTATTTGGATTTCCAGAAGGCCTTTGACAAGCTGTAGGCTACTAAATAAGGTAAGAGCCCATGGTGTTGGAGGAAAGATAGTGGCATGGATAGAGATTCCCTGACTGGCAGAAGGTAGAGAATAGGGATAGTGACCAGTAGAGTTTCATAGGGCCCTGTGTTGGGATCGCAACTATTCAGCCCATATATTAACGACTTGGGTGAAGGATCAGAGGACATTATTCCTAACTTTGCAGCTTGACATAGGAGGGACAGGTAGAATTGAAGAAGAGAGGCTACAGAAGGACTTGGGCAGGCTGAGGGAGTGGGCAAATAAGGGGCAGATGGGATACAATGTGGGAAAGTTTGAGGTTATGCACTTTGGTGAGAAGAATTTTTTTAAATGAAGAAAGGCTTCGTAGATCTGAAGCACAAAAAAATTTAGGAGTCTTAGTTCAGGATTCTGTTAAGGCTAGCATACATGTTCAGTTGGCAGTTTGGAAGGCAAATACCGAGTTAACATTAATTTCGAGAACGTTAGAATACACCTGCAGAGATGTACTGCTGAGACTGTATCGGGTCTGGTCAGACTGCATTTGGAATATTGTGAGCAGTTTTGGGAAGGATTCCCTGGAGTTTAAAGTCATACAGAAGATGTTTACGAGAATGATCCGAGAGATGAAAGGCTTGTCATATGAAGAGTGGTTGAGGGCTGTGGGTCTGTACTCGATGGAATATTGGAGGATGGGGGGCATTTGATTGAAACTTTTAGGATACTGAGGAGGTCTGGATAGAGTGGACATGGAGAACATGTTTTCACAAGCAGAAAAGTCATGGTGTCATATTGCCATGTAAGTCTATCTTGTACCATCCTCCTACATCCATGCAGCTTGCCTGTAGGACGCAGAGCACAGCGTCAGGCTGAAGAGATGACCCTTTAGATAACAATGATCAACGGAAAGCGGGGGGTACTGCCTGAGTAGAGAGCGGAGTAAAATGAGCGCAGAATCTGCAGAGGTCTAGCCGAAGAACTGTGAGCCATAGTAGCAGTTATACATAGTGGATATTTTAACAATCATGACCTCATAGTATGGAATAGTAGCTTTCCGGTAGCTATTGAAAGATTGAAGCATTTGAATGACGTGCGTGGAGCTGCAAAAGCCACATGCTCAAGGGACTGGGGGATAGCTGAGAGCAGACGAGTAAGATGTAAGACTTTTGTGTATATCGTAATTTGTCTTCCCGGAAAAGCTGTGTTCAATATTAAGAAAGAGATAACATCGGGTATTTAGAAAGGGTGGAACCCGCTGACTGTAAAACTAGGAAAACCAGATCCCAGAGTATAAAATGTATTTTAGATCAAGAATTGTATTTGCACAGGAATTCTAATGTCAATGTCTGTAACAAAAAAAAGCATACATCCCTAAAACGACCAAAAAAATCTACATAACAGGACAAACCATACAGATATTTGCTGAAACAGAAAGAAGAAAAATGACAAATTGACTGCTTTCCACAGCAATATGTTCTACAGTCACTAAATTCCAGTGAAATATCACTCCTGCCTTAATTGTAATTTGTTACTCAACTCACAAGGTTGAAAAAATGTCTTTCAGACTTTCTGCATTTTCATTAGATGTGATTTTCTTCTTTGCTCGTACTAAAAACGCTAATATGCACAGAAGCAACTAACTCATTTTTTTCCTAACCGACTTTAAAGAAATTCCCTGTCCAATTGAACAGCTAAAGTGGTTCAAGATTTCTTTCCAGTTCTCATAGAATCTCCACAGTGCGGAAGCAGGCTAATCGAGTCCACACTGACCCTCGAAAGAGCGTCCCATCCCTTACGTTTCCCCTGCATTTCCAATTCTCGACACTATGGGCAATTTAGCATACCCAAACCACCCAACCTGCGCATCTTTGGACAGATGGAAGAAACCCACGCAGATACCGGGCGAACGTGCAAACTTCACGCAAATAGTTGCGCGAGGTCGAACCCGGGTCCCTGACGGTGTGAAGCAGCATTGCTAACCACTGAGCCACCTTGCCACCCAAGCTTCTTCAAGCCTGGAAACTGCCACCAATTATGTTGGTATGAATCTTTTCTTCTCCAGTAAATTCTTATGATTCTTCAGATTCTTCTGCCGGTCATCAGCTTACGTGCTTGCCAGAAAACTCAAATTAGTAGATTTCGGCAATTAACGCTCCATGTAGCTTAACTAGTCACATTAGAGCAAAACACTGTGGATGCTGGAAATCTGAAGAAGTTCCAAATTGCTGAAGAAGAATCATACTGAATTCGAAAAATTAATTCTGTTTTTTCCCTGTAGGTGCTGCCAGACCCGCTCAGTTCTTCCAGCACTACTGTTTTTATTTCAACTTTTCTCACTTTTCGCTCTACACACACACTTTCTTAAAAACAGTGTGTTGAATTCGTTAGTGAACGTCTACTTCATGAACTTTTAACAAAGTAGGTAATCTGAACTCCACTAAAATCAAAAGCCAAATTACTTTTACTTTAGCAAAGTTGTAATAGCCCCAGAGGCTGTTCTCTCATTAGAGAGAGGTGACACGTGATGGTTCTAACCTGAGGGTCACGATGCCACAGCTGAGGAGCGAGGTTGAGAAGGTGGACCTTCATGATAATCTCACCGGTGTGCAAATTGAATCCGTGCTTTTGTCATAACTCTGCTTCGAAACCAGCCAAACTGAGGTCACTGACCCCTCACTACACTTATCTTTCTTTAACAATGCGACATGTATTGAGCTTTACCAAAAGTGGAATGCGCCAAAGGTAACGGGGTCACGTGTGAAATATCACCCATTTTGGATGGCGTTGAAGAGGAGGTGAGTGGTTAATAGTGGAATGGAAATAAGGTCAAGGTAACAGGATGTGGAATTCATGAACAGGACTAGTTCATATTCCCTGAAGACAGATTGGTGAGAGATAAAAAACACATTTGCGGAACCTTCCTGCTCAGGATCATTATAGCTGAGGCCTGGGATAGTTCTGACTTAGAGGCCAAAACAAAGCAGGATTTACTCGAAATTGGGGTAACAGATGGTCTTGGTGTTTACTGTGAAGAAGTCTTTGAGATTGATGCAATTGTTGAAAGTGGGTCAGGGGAAACATGGGAAAGAGATTTCAAAGTACTTTCGGTTTTGGAAGCCATGTGGTTAGCTATGTATTTCAAGACAGATATTTCGATAATTGAGCGTTTTGGGCCAAAATGAAGCTCACTCCAGGTGGTGTAGCATGATTCCTTTGTGTTGCAGATGCGCTACAGCATCGGCCCTTTGGACGTGGGGCTGGAGCATCTGGGGGCTCTCTATATTTTCTCAGGGAATGGGGAATTATGGTATCAACAACGAAAAGAGATTTCGAGGACATTTCATGCTACTTTGGCCTCCTCTGTGAGAAGCCCGTTCCTGCAAGTTTCACATTTCAATCAGTTTAGTCAAGAAATAACTTATTACATGAATTGATCCAATCATGAATTCGAATTAGAAGATCTGGATGCTCCAGGAATGCGGTTCATGTTGTTTAATATCAATTTTCCTCCAATGTAATAGTCTTGAAAACCAAAACACACTAGTAAGCAAACTGAGATCCGATCATACCCTGGTGTATGGGTATTATTTATTCTTTTTTCTGCCTTTCTGCTTGTTTAATCATGATGACATGCACTCTAAACATTTTGGTCATTGCATATTATTATGGAAAATGCCATTGATTCTGATATTTGTCTCTCAAGTACTGAGTAAACTTGATGGAATATAAAAGAGAGTAACATTGAACATTAAATACCCTGCTCCAGGTCGATGCCAGATACTCGTTGTTTGCATAATTTTCCATTCAGTGTGAACAAATATTTCACCCCTTTCTTCAGCTCCTCCCTGAATTTCCTCTGCGTTAGTCCGTAAATGCAAGTGTTGCTGCTGGAACTGAGCAGCTGCAGCATAAACCCGACTTGCTGGGTAATATATACCGAGTTACTGTAATATTTATCAGTGTAATTAAAGTTCATCACTGGCCAGTTTACCGAATGCACAACATATGTCAGCCACAACAGTATGAAATTGGCTGAAATAGTGAAAAGCAAAATCATGGATTTTCTCCGATTCTTTATCTCTGGATCATTCTGATTCTCACTTTTACTCCGGAGACGCATACGGACTTTATTCACTGAAATAATGTGTTTGACAGTTAAAGCATTGAATATCAGAATTAACAAAAATGGCAAAAGAGGGGTTATGATGCTGTCAACCCATTCGTATACCTTCCACAAGGGGGAATTCAGATAGGCCGCTGTAGGAACACAATGCCATGGCGTGCTGTCAATGATAAAGGCAGGTTCATCTGAAAAGTAAAATGGAATGCTCCTCAGACAGCTCACCACAAACACAGTGACGATGACCATTTTGGCTGTTTTATCAGTACAATATTTCGATTGTAACTTCTGACAGCAAATTGTTACAAATCGATCAAAAGTGAAGGCAACAGTGAACCAGACAGAGCAGTCCACAGCTATAATATACATGACAAAGTTTACAATGCAAACAGGAGTCAGATATAGGAAACTAATCGGCAAATACATGTTATTGATCCGGTGTAATAGAACATCAATGAAAACCACTGTTAGATCTGCTGCTGCCATAAACCCCAGGTATCGAGTGACGCTTTTGGAGAGACCACACTTTCCTCGAGCTAGTATCATAATAGCGACCAAGTTAACTGTAACGACCATGAAATCTAAAATTTAGTTCCATGCTCTCTCAAAATTTTTCCCTTAACACAAGAACTGAATTTGATTTTTTTTCAAATTGTTGAACTGTTTGTTATATAGTTCTAAATTAAATAGTGATGCTCAGGTAGGCACATAAATCTATTGTAAACTTATGAAAGGCTACAAACACACTTACTTTAAATAAAAAGAATGAGTTTCATAAAACCCTAAAGAACTGCGGATGCTATAAATCAGGAACAAAAACAAAGTTGCTGGAAAAGCTCAGCAGGTCTGACAGCATCTGTGAAGGAAAAAACAGAGTTAACATTTCGGGTCCAGTGACCCTTCCTTAGAACTACTAACTGTTCAGAACAAACAACTGTTGAGAATGAGTTTCATATCTGATAGGGACAAAGTTACCAAAATAAAAATAAATATAATGTTTCTAAACAATTTCCAGCATGAAGCACACAGATGCCCATTTAGCATTTGACATTTTCCCAGAAACGAAATATCTAGGCTTCAACTATTCCCTGCTGTTTATGGTCTGCAAACCTTCAAATAGTTGGGTTATTATTTATATAAAATATGAGTGCACACTAGCCGTGTTGGTGGGAAGTGCACTCACAACATATTGGAAATATCTTGTTGAGTATAGTCAGCAGAACTGCTTTGTTGTGTAATTATCTATACATATTGAGACAATTGGCGTTAGGTTATGATATTTTATGACAGTATGAATCAAGAATATTGTGAAACCAGCTCTCACTGCCAATACTAATTTCAGTCATTCATTCCAAGTCGAAAGATCCCTCTTTAAATTTCAATCTATTCCTAACCTACAGCTGGCTAATGGGTTTTGTCAAAACAGTTCCAGACTAGTGTCAGTTCGTGCAGATTCCTGGATTGTTGATGACGACCAGAGTTTACCTCACAAAATCTGCACAGTAAACTAAAACCGGAACACAATACAAAATGGAAAATCTAGCGAGAGAAATGCAGGCAAACAGCAGAAATAATCAGAATTTCGTTTCCATTTAAACCATCCACAAATACAATGAAATCAAGTTTGGAATCAGGTAACGACAGAAGTGTTTCTAGTGAAACAACATATAGCATGCAGTAATATTATAACTGCTTAATTATTCAATATTCACATTTCGTATTCAAATCCAAGGTACAATTTTTTTTTAGAAAAGTTAGCGCTAATTTATTTTCAGGTCTTACTTCATTGGCACATTTTGGAAAATGTTTCTATATTTTTGTGACAATCTAATGTTGTTTTAACCTTGTGGTGAGCACTGAAAATTATTGTTTCAGGTAAGAATTCCAATGGCTATCAAGACAAGGACTGCTGATAATTTCAATCAACCTTTTCAGACGTGTTATAATGCATCCTTACAAACCAGAAGTCTACTTCCATCTAGAAGTGCCACGGCAGCAGATACATGGGATCTCTTCCAAGCCAGTCACCAGGCTGATTTGGAAATTCATCGCAGTTCCTTTAGTGTCGCTGGGGCAAAAATCCTGGATTTCCCTCCCGACATCATATGCTCACCACAACGTTCTCAAGGGCAATTACGGACGTCCAATTAATGCTGGCCCAGCCGGTGACACCTACCTCCACGAACGAATAAAACCAATCCTCAAATCAAGGATTGTACACTTAACTGTAATTAACTAACGCCAAACAATAACATGAAAAGTTGCACATCAATACTCAACAATTACTACCCTGCTTCATTGTCTTACCGGGAATACCGATGGCTGCAAGTACCGGGTAGAAAATTAGGTCTATCTGATAAATTACAGGGTATTCCATTTCTTTTTAGAAGCACCAATTTCTGATCTACCAGGCACAGAGTGCTGACCGTATGACTGTGAATGTTTATCCAGGGGATTCCTTATATATGTTTTGAAAAAGTCTCCACAGAGGTAGGCATCAAGGGAATGTGAGTCCTTCTATTCCTTAATGAAGCATTTTTTCTCCCAAGGTATAGTCAAATTAACGTATTAAAATAAGACGATTCAAAGCAGAATTATTTTATATTTACTTAAATTCCTTCAACATGTGCCAAGCCTCTAGTGTCAAAAATTGATCAGCAGCATCAGTTCCATTAATGTTGGTGGTGAGCTGGATCAAGTGATGTTTGCAATGACCCTGAAGTTTATCGGAGGAACATTTGCCTTTATAACGGCTTTATTTGTTGATCTGGATGCAGAACCGATAGAGAACAGATTTTGTGCTTTCAGTAATGGTTGCACCGATATCAATCCTTGTAAACAATCAATGAAATCATGCATCGGGTATGCAATGTGAGATAGAAACTCTTGCACCTGGTTCAGTCCGGCCCCACGACTCCGTTTAATTCACACTGGATAAATCCGTTTTTTTCCACACTACTTGTGCACGGTAGTTAATTCCCTGAAATTTGAGTGGGTGCACAATCTAGTTGCCACGGTGAGAGCAGTGTAACTGTCTAATTGGAAGATGCAAGGTATTTAAGTATTCCCTGAGGATTGAATCAGCTCTTGGTCAGAGGAAGTGTTATGGTTTCACACTACACTGGAGCATGAAAGAGCCCAGTGAGATGAAGTTGACACTGATTACATTGAGCGCATCGATTGCCTGGACACGTCACCGAGGTGAAAAGAACAAAAAACTGATTTGCTGGTCGCAATGCGCAGTGGAGTAGCACTGAGGTGTGCTCAACTTCCTTGAATTTTAAAGCCCCAAACCACTAGAATTGTCGAACCGATTAACACAGGGCGAGTCTTGGAACTCATGTTGCCCAAATCTGCTGTTTGAAAGAGAAATATAATCAATCGCTCTTTCCCTGCAGTGCGCTTTTGTCCTATAAATATTGTACTTTAAAATGTTACTATAACTCGACCGAAAATTGTTAATGAATTCAGTCTTCACTCTTTCCGGGACTGCATTGCAGAGTTTGACAATGGGCGCCAGAATTCTGGTAACACTTACACATGACTGATTAACCCTCAGCTGGATCAATGGTTGACTGTGGGCATTCGGTTTTCTGACGGTTAAGAAGGCCTTGGAGAGGATGTACAGGAGTTTCCCCAGAACAAGAACGAGCAGAGGAGAATCCTGTCTATTTCCAAGAGAATTTTCATTGTTCAAAAGTATAAAAACTAGTGTTGGTTTACTCAGGGAATTCCAGACATTGGAGGCTGGACAGCTGAAGGTACAGCCAACAATGGCGTAACAATTATAATTGGGCATGCGGAAGAGGCCAGACTGAGAGGAGTGACAATGTCTCAAAATTATAGGGCTAGTGGAAAAATGGAACTGGACTTGTGGGGAAATAACACAGGGTGATTAGAGTTGAAGATCACTTCAAAAATATATCGGGTCGAATGTGGGGTTCAGTTATGAATATGTAGAAATTGTCCTGTCTAGAGAGAATGAGTCTTGAAGAAGGGTTTTAGCAGTAAGTGTTGAGATAATGTTGATGTCACCCAATGGGACAAAGCATAGAATGAGCGATTTTGTTGATGGCATGAATGTGAAGTTAAAAACTCACCTTGAAAGCAAGTTTGGGAACAGGTTTGGGGCCACATTGGTTTATGTCAGTTTGCCAGGGAGAAGGATGAATCCTTCAGTATGAAAATGAGAGGTAATTGGTTTGCAGTGGAGACTGAGCGCTGTGGTTTTAGGCTTCCCAATAAATAGTTGAAGGAAATTTCTGAATAACCAGTACTGGATGACAGGTAGGTAGCTGATAACTTCACAACACTTTAGAAAGTCAAGAGGAGCAATGTCAAGCCATCATCTTGCCTTATTGCACTCCGTGGGTTGTAGGGACACACAGTGATGTTAGGAATTAAGATTCTGCATATTTACCCAGCAACAGTGAAGGAATGCGATATGCCATTTCACGTCAATGTTGCTATGCGGCTAAGAGAGAATTTACAGTTGATGGCATTCCCATGCATCTACCGTCCTTATCCTTCGAGATGGTAATAGGAATGGTTTGAAAGGCCCTTGCATATGAGCTGCTGTAACACACCTTGTATGTGGTACACGCTGGTGCAACGGTATATCTATAAATAATGTTTAAGCTAGTAGGTGGGATTTCTATCAAGCGGGTTGCTTTGTTCTGATAGGTGACGTGCGATAGGAGATGCACCGGCTCAGGGAAATGGAAAGTGTTCCATTACACTCCTGATGGACAAGCTTTGGGGCAACAGCTACTTACCCCGAGATTCCTAACCTCTGACCAGCTCTTGTAGCTACATAGTTTACATGGCTGGCCAGTTCCGTTTTGGTCGATGGTAAGGCCTAGGATATTTCGAAGTGGGCGATTCAATGATTGCAATGTCACTTAATTTCAAAGACAGTTGATGAAATTCTCTCTTTATGGTGACAGTCTTTCCTTGGCACCTATGCGTTGCGATTGTTAATTGCCATTGTTTTCTCAAGCCTCAAAATTGTCCAGGTCTTCCTGGACATAAGCACAACTTGCTTTAATATCTGGTGAGTCGAAAATGGTGATGAGCATTGTGTAATCATCATCAAATCCTTCCACGCTTTGTCTGTTGATGTAACAGTCAAAGAGATTGGACCAAGAACTTGAATTCATTGGGCTTCTGATCATCTTTCCAAAAGTGATCACTTGGTTGATTCCAGGTCAGGGACAATATAGATTTCATTAAAATCCCTGAATTCTTTCTGTAATTTGTTTATTAGTAGGACAGTGTTCTTTTATTCTCCAGTTTAAAATCCAATGCTTTACCATCATTGATTATTCGGGCTGACTCTTTTGTACTTAACCAAAGGAAAATATTTCTATCTTGAGACAAACTTAGATTACGAAGGTAAACTGCAGCACGATCAAAGAATTTACCCAACCGTTTCCCAGGACATTCTTGGTCACATTGTCGCCATTCCTCGTCACCAGCAGGTGTAGTTCAGCATGCCGCTCTCCGCTTTGAGTCAGCTCTGTGTAATTCTAGGCTACACAACCAGA